AATTCAGAATCAGTTATTTTTTATTTTCGGTCCCAAAAACTTTTCATTATTCCGAACCCCTCAAACAATAGCTGATTCTGAATAATTCCCCGAACACTTTTCATTAATCCGAACCCCTCCATTAAAAGGGGTGCCACATTAGTTGTCGGAGATTTGCCCAAAGTAGATCATATTTACGCGTATGTAACCCAAAAGTGCCTTGGAGTGATGGGCCTTTGGGGGAGCTCATCGCCCCTCAGACGGTAAGGGTTTGCAGGGGGTCTTATGCTACATTCAGTTAAGCAGCGCAAATGGGACTGTGCTCCTAGTTATCCTGGCTTAGTACGACCTATTTAAGCCATTCTCAAATCCAATACCCGGCACCATGCCAGAATATACCTCGCAGTCCTTCTAGGTACTCTTCTTGGTTAAGCTGTAAGTTGAGATGTACCCTCCTCCAGACTAGTATGGGGCCCCGAAAAGGGGGCCACATGGACTACTGTCCATTTACAGAGCAGATTTGTGGGGTTCCATTTTAGTTTGCTGGAGCCTACCTTTAGAACCACACCTGATGACGTTCATCCTTTGAATTCCTTGTGTTTCCTAACATTGCAAGGGTCCTATCGGAATCCACGAAGTAAGCTGAGAACTCTCTGGAATGGCGTGCGTGTAACCCAGGCTTAAACGCGAAACGGCTGAAAACTTGTCAGCCGTGAAGGAGGGTTGCGACTCAGGGTCGGAGGAAGTCTATGCTGAAGGGGGGCTTGCTTAGTTGTGAAGCTGTGCACAACATGAACTGTAGACACTGTAGTCTCAACTCCTTAAACAGGGGTTCTATGGGGGAATATATAGGGGATTACCATAGGGGTTATTAAGGGGGTACTAGGAGTTTAGACTCTGGCTCATATGTTCTAACTTTCACAACAGGGTTTGTTCCTTCTCGCACAGGGTGCAGGGCATTTATCCATGTGTATACTCGGTAGGTCTGAACCAGCAGAAGTGGTGTGACAAGAAGTTAACGAGAGAACTCCTTTCCCTTACCCTTTCAACTTGTGATCCTCAGTTTGCTTCAAAGTCTGTCCTTCCATTATCATTATACAGAATCTCGCAGAATTTGGGCAGGAGTTCCGTGAGATAACGATGGACCTGTCGCAGCCTTTGGGCATCAGCTTCACCGACGATGTCGTTGCAAAGGATGCGGGTGTGGAGACAAACTGAACATACTTGGGTATTCAAGCAAACGTTCCTTACGTGTGGAGGTAGCAGCACTTACTCTTTGCTAGGCAGCACTTTCCGCCAATGTGTGATGAAACCTTTGTGTCTCCAATTTGGCAACCAGATGTTATAAGTTGCGCAATCTTCCCCACGTCGCCTGCTGCCGGCAACAACAGCGCATGATATATTCGAATGCGAGTTCAGAAAGGACTTGTACAAGTATTGTTGTAGGTCATAGATAGGTTTTTGTTTCACACTGCGCTCCCGCTTTGGGGTCCGATGTACAGTTGCTGTAGGGAGAGCAACTCTAGACAGGCTTGCAGTGATATGTGTTTCACAACGGGAATTGTGGTAGTTGCCCTAAATAAGTAGACCTCGAATCTTGTAATCCTTATAACAAGAGGAAAATCTGAGAGCATTCAACAGTTCGATTTTGAGAGGCATAGGGCTGCATTGATTCTTTATTGGCACGTTGTACCCCAGTGTGACAAGCTCCCACTTGTTCAATGGTTTGAAGACTAGTGCAACTACCGAACCTTCTGGAACCTGAGTATTTTGAGTACTTGTTAGGCAGACCTTCGTCCGCACACACAGCGTTGGATGTATGCGTGGGACTAGTTGTTCAAGCAACAGGAGTGGAAATCCAAAGCATGTCTCAAGTGTAATGCCTTTGTTTTCCTTAAGACATCACGATCTTTGCCAAGCAGCAGAAAGCAACCAGGGTTTTGAGAACATCTCGCAGGAAGTGAAAGCCGGGTCGCAAGCTGACAAGCTGGGCGTAGGCACGTCCCATGTTGACGCATGTGTGGTGGATTTGATTTAAGGCTAATACAGTTTAGGAATGAAAGGTGAGGGTTCATGCGCTTTCGTTGTGGTGTCCGAATCCATTTGCAACATGTCAGGCCAGTGGACAGGCCACGGTGTGCTCTGTACATCAAATCAAAATCAATGAGTATGTTACAAGTCAGTCTTAATGGAGGTTTCGTCCGACAGCTGTCTGTGAAGGTCGGAAGGCTCAGTGTTCAAGGTTTTAATGCAGTTAAGGGCTGACTTGGTGGCGAGTCGGACTTGGTGCTTCAGACAGGAGCCCAACTTAACATCAGCAGCATGCGGCCGGGATAGCAAAAAGCCTTCTATGCTCACCCCCCGACGAACTGCTACATGAATTGAAGCAAGAGTGCTGGCAAGAACCCATGTTTTACGGTCTGGCCCTCAGCAAAACTATGCGACAGACTATGGAACCTTTTCGGAAACTCCTCAAATTGATATTCGAATGCAACTCAAGACGGTCCAAACTCAGCCATGGAACCCGAGCTCCAAAACTCGGAGATCTAATATTGTTGTGAACATAGTTTGTTGATTATCAGTTTTATTGATTGGTATCAGTATTCTGATGACAATTCTTATATTATCATTAGCCCTCAATGCTGCAAGCTGAATCCTTTCATGTCCCGACTCTCCCAGGCCCAGCTCTTTGGGCTGGGTTTTGCCATGACGGTTAAAATCAAAATATGTAAATTTCAGGGTTTGAGGTACCAAAAACCCTTCAGATTACACAGTAGTTGGCCCTCAAGCGCCATTTTTTCGGTGCTTGGACACTAGATTTATAGATTGTTTTTGGATTTCGCCCCCTGCCAAGACCCAAGCCTGGGCAATTCCTCACATGTCGAAGCCTGTGAAGCCCCGCGCAATAGAGGCCCTGTGCCCCCAATGAAGTATGATATCCAAAGCTTCAGCTCTATCAACCTTCCCAAGCCATGCCCTTTCCAGGGCGCCTTTGGAAGCTGGCGACTGCTGCTGGTGCGCCCGTGGCAACTGCGAAGGACCGCCGCTGTCTGGGAAGGCCAAAGATTGTATGTGGCCCAAGGGTGTAGACTGCCCCAAACGGATAGACTGAACGTGTTACCCAGTTAGGCAACATCGCCATTCTACTGCGAGTATGGACCTCCCCGCTGACACATTGAGGTGTAGGTCTAGTGGCGGGGTTTAGGAGTAATTACATGTGGTGCAAGGACTAGGATCCAGGACTCAGGCTTTGGGGTGTGGCGCTCCGCCATGGCTATAGTCCTCGTGATGTCATGCTGCACGCGTTCACTTGCTCATAAGGGAAAAGCTGCCACAGGAAGCCCCCAGGGCAACACATGCATTTGCAGAAGCTTAAGCTATAAGCCATAAGCTGAAGCACAGAACCCAATTTGAACTCATACCCCCTCAAAACCATAAGCCCCAGACCTTTCAGACCCTTACTCCTCTCAAGGGTACCCATGAGAGAGCAGGAGCTGGTGGCCAAGATCAAAGGCCTCAAATCTGAGGGCGCGACTGAGGCGCGACGCAAGGGACAGCCTTGTTGTTGGTCTGGTAGAGAGGGGCCTCTACTGCCAGGCAGTCCACCTACGCCGGCCTGGATTTGTAGGTGCATGAAGCCTTGACAAGTAGTGTGCCCATTTAACTTGCGTTTTGCAGAGACTCGTCCTGGCTCTAACATGTTGCTTCTGTTTCGCGTTGCCCTGTGAGGTTCTACTGATAGTTTCTGAAGCAACTAGTGTGCTCAAGGTCTGCATCCCGTTTACCAACTCAGAGTTTGTCAAATGACCGCTAAGGATCCTCGCGCATCATGATCTCTACCCCCAAGCATTCCCAGTGCTCGTCTTGAAAAAACCCTCAGTGCTGCCATCATTCTGGGGAACCGTTCTATATAGGCCTATAGGCTGAGCCCGAACTCCAAAGCTCACGGCGGGTTTTTGCCTACGGAATTATTGTGGCTGTCGTTCTTGTTGTATATTATATTATGTTGCCCCAAGGAGAAGAAGGGTCGGAATCCCGGGCTTGTTGACATCAAGTGCCTTTGCTCCAAGTCACAAACCGGAGATTACTGAACACTTGTGCCTGCATTTGGGCCTTGGAGTATGCCTACTATGGTACAGCCCCCTGTTCTGTTCTGTTGGGTTCTGGAAAGCTGCATGATCCGAGTCGGAGCACACTCAAATTCAAAGCCCCCACAAATCTAACATAGTCTGTTTGTTGTTGGTCACATGGGGTTACGGAAGATAGCTGGCCAAACCGCTTTCAAGAAACAAGTAGTGAACCTGAAGGCAGATAACACTTGTCCTTTCGCCGCACATGCCCAATGATTCGGAACTTGGAATGTCTGCACAGGTAGTCATAACTATACTTCTACCTATACCTTGAAAGCGCGCCTTGTGATCATGCTTTAGACTCCCTACGTTTGTTTCGAGAGGGGAAGATCACCTTGCTCTTTTCTTTCACGTGCCCGATCATCTTAAAAAAGTGCAGACTTCGTTTGGGCTCGGGAAGTCACCGCAAGCGTCAACCCTAAGTGAGCTATAGTCTAACCTCCTGATAATATGGGGGAGTATTATAGGGCTAATTAAGGGGGATGCTAGGAGTTTAAACGGTTGGATATCTTCTGTGGCAGGTCATTCTACGGTTTGCTGTCACTGCAGGCCGTCTGTGAGTGTGTGTGTGTGTGTGCGCCCCAAAACGAGCCTCCAATCCCGATAGCTGCTTATAAGAAACACAAAAGAGACAGGTTCTTGAGATAATCCAACTTATGTTGTTCAATTGGCTTCCGGTTTATTTGTGAGGGTTGTCACTACATGTTGCAACAGCTGTGGCACTGGCAACTGATTGCCTGGCCCGACTCTTCAGCTTGAACACATAGTTTGGCTGCCGGCTATGCTTGTCAAAACGGGGAGAATCATAGCGCCGTCTGGTATAGCTCTGAACTAGTCAGGTCTCATTTTTCAAGGTTTTAATCCCAGCAAGATCCGAGGTGCAAGATCAAGAAATCAAGGATTATTTCCTGCACTCTCACCTACGCAGCTGGGGTAAAGCTCCACACCACTGGCATATCTTTTCCCATGGCGCTTGCAGCCATGTCTCCAAGCAGATCCGTAATCTCGTTAATCCTACCCATATAACCCCTGTATATATTCCGATTCTATAGAACCCCATAAACTTTATATGACCCCTGATAAACCCCTTGGATCTTTTTCTGCAGATGCATTCAAGTGTAGGCCGTTATTGAGAACAGCCCCCCGACATATAGCAGCTTGAAGGAAAAACGTTCAGGTCTGCATGCTGAGACCAGCCCCCAGATACACAGCGGGTTGAACCACTCAGGTCTGCATGTTGCGTAAGCCAGAACATTCCTCATGGTATGGCGCCATACGTGGCCCACCTTCCATGGCCTACAACATCCCCCTACTAGGCCCTAAGCCATCCTGGCAATGTAGAATCACATGTCCATTCTGCAGATGCCTGAAAAGCTCAAAAAGCAACTTTGGCTGCCAGATTCTGGTGAGACACCCGCCAAGAAGCCGCGGACAGAGTGATCCGGAGTTCATGTGAGGTTTCTCTAAAGGTAAGGGGTCTGTATTCCGGGCCCATAAGAAGGATTTTTTTCATAAGGCAGGCAGACCCTTCGGACTCTTCACTCAAAGGGTAGAGTGGTGGTTGCAAGTGATGTTCATGTAGACAGCTGTTTATGCGACAAGTCACGTGTAGGAATTACGTCGAAATTACGTGCCATTTTGCAAGAAAGGGAATGGCCGTGTAATCTATGGCTGTCAATTTTGGCTTCCATAACTCCATCATCAGACGACATTTTGCCAGCGCCAGCTCAAGCAAAACGCTGAGGATCAGCTATCGTAGAGGGAAGTCAGCTCACCGACACCGTAATCTGACTACTGCAGGGTCCTTTGTGCTCTGAGGACTGTTGTCTAGCTCCAGTCTTTGCATAGGCACGGTAGAAGCCGAACAATTTGCAAGGCAATCTCAGCCAGTAGGTCATATGTTCTCTGACATCATAGGATACGGTCCCCGAACAGACAGCTCCACCCAGTGAGGTGTGTGTATGATATTGGATGAAGTTCAAGTTGTGTCTGTGGGTGCGGTTATTCTGGGTGACGTGCTGCCGTCGTGGAAAGACAAGCTGTGGTCGGCTGCAGTTATGGGCGGACAAACAGCGCTCCGGCATCTTATGTTTGAGATCAGTGCCACATACGTATTGCTAAAAATTGTGATATCATCATCTAGCCTAAGTTATCCGGGCCCACAAGGATTTCCCGAATACTTTGACAAGCACACATATGCAGTGGGATGACCTAAATTCAAGCCCAACATCTTCAAGACGTTGACCATAGATACCTTGAATTTCGCGGTTGGTCACATGAGTTGACTTCAAGGAGGTTGCCGGGACACTCTCAACTAGGTGCGCTCGGTGTCTAAAGTGGACAACTCCTCTAGAAACACTTTGGCGTTGGGCACTCAAGAAGCAGTCTGAGTCCTGTTAAAAAGTCAACAGAATTTTGCACTCCTGCACTCTGTGGTAAGATAGGGACACAGTGTTAGATTGATGTCTTTGCGCATACAGGTCCGTAGGAAGAGATGCAGGTAGGAGTTGATAGCTTCTGCTCGCTGTAGTAATCCTAATCCGGCCCCCTATAGAAAAAGCCTCCCATGCCTACCAGCCCCACAACGTACATATTGTTCACTCGTATTGAATGATGATAGTGATGACTTGTCCCTTGGAACCGGACATTAGTAAGCGGGGCGGGGGGGCAAAAGGTTCTTGATGACGAGAATCCGCCTTTTCCTATGGAAACGTAAATGCCCCTCCCCTTCGCCTGATTTGGAGCTTCTCTTCATATGATTCCAGCATGGGCAATCCATACTTTCAATTATGAGATCTGAATATGGGATCGGATTATTGCGTCAGGCGCCAGGAAAAGAGTTTCGCCTCCGCGTCACCTTAGCAACATGCTACCTTGCGCAGCTGCCACACGGTTCGACAGATCGCAGAGCCCTACGCAAGCTCGAATGATGTGGAGTCAGCATGTTCAGGTTCCCACGCCCATGTGCAGAGTATAGTCTTGAGCAATGTTAGGTAGGTCCGTAAGCACCCGTAGGTCCAAGGCTGCTACCTTTCGAATCCCAAACTTGATGCAATAAAGCTCTGAAGCCTTCCATGAGCCGTACATAACCAAAGTCACGTTACACGCAAATCTGCACCTTTACAGTCAATCACTCATCCTTGGCTTTAGAGCCTCGCTGCAATAGGGTGGAGGTTTGTCGAGATGAGATACGTAAATCCCTGTGGACTCTTGGGATATGCAGAGATATATAGAGATTACAGAGAGCATTATGGTGGATCCCTTTATGAACCTTAGAGATTTTTTCAGAATCTCCCATGTCTTTGCAAATCTCCTTGAGCCTTGTGCGCTTGGGCCGTGCCTTGTCAGCAAAAAAGTCAGACCTTAGGTGATTCCCCCCATTGATGGTGGATGATAGAAATATAGTGGGGCGCTGTTATGCTTAATAGGAAGAATTAGAATGGGGTCCATAGAATTACCATCCTCCTTTGTGGATCCAGTACTCGCTGGGAGTCCATCTTAGTCAGGCCTTTGCTACTTCGGACATTTAATGGGGATTATAATATGGGGACTAACAGACTTGCTACCTTGAAATCCTGCTTGGACTAGGGATTCTGTTAATCCCCAAGAGGTTTCGGCTGCTAGGTCCTGCAACGGAGAACATCTGGACAGCGCATTGCGCTAGTATGAGTATATAGTCTAAACTCCTACAGTAGTATCCCCCTTAAGAAGCCTTGTAATAAGAACCAAGTATAGTCCCTTATATGACCCCGCTTAAAGCGTTTAGACTACAGCTCATACTGCTTGCATGCTAAGCTTCAAGGCAGGGGCTCCTGTTTGTCACGCTGAGAATCATCCCCTGAAGCTAAAATGAAGGGTTGAACAGGCAACTTACTGGTTCATGGTAGGGAATGAGGGAATACAGTATATAGGGATGACATAGATAGGGAGTATATTGTGGCTCTGGCATATTTAGGGCTGGTGAGGGGCTGTTATTTTGGCGTTTAGTCTAATTACAATCTTCAACCTCCATTGCGGCATGCCGTGTGCAGTCGTTCACCGTCAGTCCCACAAACGCAGTTGGCCATGTATGGGCCTGTCTCAAGGTTTAGGCCTTGTATAGACTTCCAAAAATATTCACCTGGATTGCCAGCAGCTCACCCTTGAAGTGGAAACGCCTGGAAGACCGGGCGTACTGCCCAACTCCCCGGAAAAAATGTTTTCAATCTGTCCCCATCATAATTTGCTCCTGTATAACACTTAATATTGGCGGGAAGGGTGCTCATTACGAGGACCCTCCCAAGCACGAAACGCATAGCTCTGCTTCTGGCAGTTTCTGGGAACTGCACTAGAAATGTGTAAGAGGCATCCATAGAACGTTTCGGTACAACTTCGCGGTAGAGGTGTACTGGTAGGCTTAAAGTGAGATTCTAGTGAAATCTTGCAGGACAGCCTCGAAACCCGGAAGCCCATATCCCGTATAGTCCCTGCAAAGCCTAAGTAAGACCCCTTCAAAGGGACCCAAGGGCGTGACATCGGCGGATGGGATGTAGCAAGCCTCAGCCCAGCGACTTAAAACTTGCTCTGACCCTTAGAAATTCTCAATGCTGATACAATATCGGAGTGGGACCCCTAGAATCTCAGAATAGGTCCCATGTAATATCCTTTTTTCTGATGAACACCCATCATTTGAGACCTGCAGCTGCTTCTGGCCTTGTGTCTGCATCACTGTTGAACCTGCGCTCACAATTCTGCAGCGCAGGCTTGTGCTTAGGGTTGAGGTTTCAGGTCGGGGAAGCTGTTACGTTGAATGAGCTTCAATCACCATTGGACGAAGATGGGGAGTGCGGGCCTGCGTGTCAGCAGCAGCAACATGTGTCCTGCTTTTGGCGCAAGCCAAAGATTTTGCACGCTGAAATAGACGATGCATCCCGGGTTGCTGAACATGAGGGAATCTACCGCTACCGCAATCAATGGAGAAGCAAAACGGAACAGAACATGAACACAAAATGGAAACTGGGATTCTATAGTGGCTTATTTCTATGGGGGTCCCTCAAGGAGCTTAGTCGTATTTCTCGAAGTAACCCGTGTACAATATCCCCCAAAAAAGACCCCCATAATCCCCTTACAATCCCTGCAGACCCCTGTGGTGCCGAAGCGCCACTCCATTCAGAAACCTTTGTAACTATTTTTTTTGATAGACTCTTCTATCCAAAGCAAGCTTTACCGAGGAGGCCGTGATCCCTGCCCAGAAGGTCTCCAGTCTATACAGGTGCTCTTGGGCATCAGTGTGTACTTACTCCTATTCATATGTGAAGGAGTGGAAAAAACGTGCAAAGTTCTGTAGGTTTAGGGTTTAGAATGGCGCAGGCTAGTAGGGAGTGAAGGAATTCTATAGTGGGACTTCTGTCTTGCTTTATTTCCTTGTTCCCTACTAGCCACCAGAGTGCTCGGTTGCAGGTGTTGGGTATTGGGTTTGGGGCACTAGGATTTTGATCTTCTGAGTTTGGACTATGTTTGGGTTTGCTTCTTCGAGGTTTTTGGTGAGGGATTGGGGGTCTGCAGGCTTTAAAGTTGAGGCTTGGAGCTAACATGATGTTGAACTCCAGAATCTGGGACTTGGAATAGTTGTTTGCTTGTGCCCGTGTGTTCGGTCTGAGGGTGTACATTTTTGTGGCAAGTTTTAGAGCATGAGTTCTGGCTGAGCGTCTGGGGAGATGCAGAGCGGTTCACCAAAACAATAGTAGATCAAGCCGACAAGTCTGATTCGAATTGAAAACTTCATCTTGCTTGGCCGCTTGGTCACTTGACCATGTCACGCAGCCTGCACGAGGGCAAGCGCATGGAATGCTGCAAAAGGAGTTTCGTGGGGCCTGCGGCTAGACTCGTCAAAACCCTCCCCCTTCTCTTCCGCTTCGTGTAAGGTGCGTGAATTGCTGACGTCCTTCCTCTAAGTTCGTAAAAGCCCCCGTGGCTCCGACTAGCTTCATCTTGACATTTCGGGTTTCTGATGAATTTGTCACAGGCTGCCTGGGGTACCCCCCTGCGGGTTCCCCTTACTTTGTGCCTTTACTACCTTTTCGTTTGTGAACGCTGGATGTAGCAGGGCTTGTTGAGGCCGTCAGAAGTTCATACGATTGAAAAGGTGGGTCTCTTGGGTTGGGATTCGCGGTGCAGACGTAAGCCATTGACCTCAAAAGCTGACGCTGGCTACCATCCTAACTCGCATTTTGCTTGCCGGCGCTATCTCCTTTTCAGACGTCTTCCATCGAAGAGGGGCCATCCTAAACCCGGATCTCAACTGATGAGGAGGGCACCTTCAAGGTAGATGACCTCGTGACCTACTGGGCAGAAGGTCTCTTGACCGCGTTTCTGATGGCATGTCTTCTTATTGTCAATGAAATATGTTATTTGGAGACTGCTTGCAGTCGTTTCCTCACGATATGTACACAAGCTTCTGG